GAGGGACGGGGCTTTTCCCGGGTCTGGGCCGGGAGGCTGGGCCCGGGCAGTCGCCGTTAAACACCACACACAGAAGCGCACGTTTCTGATGGGTTTCTTTGTTGCCAATACAGCTGCGGGCTCTGGGTTTGAACCTTGTGTTTGAGGAGAACAGGACGGGTTTTCCTTCACACGGCGCAGTGACATGAGCCTCCCGCCAGCACCTGGCCACCTCGCATCTGTGTGTGTATGTATATATATATACACACACACACACACACACGTACTGCGTGCGGCAGAGCTTGTGGCACGCAGCGGCTCTCCTATGTGCTGGCGGTGGCGAAGGGCGTTACCTCCAGCCTGGTGATACAGTCAGCAGGGTGATGTAAGGAAGAAACAAATGGATAACTCAATTCCAACTCATCTGCCTGTAGCAGAACACACCCCTATCAAATTTTATGTATCTTAACAACTGTCATGTGCTTGTAAAAGCATACTGAGGCAGATTTACTTACCTCTTTCCGAGAGTGTTTGCATGTGTTATGCAAGGGCAGGTACATCGAAGAAGGGAGCCCTTCAGGGGTGAAGGAGAGCCCAGTCCTTGCCCCAGCTCTTTGGTCTCGAGTGGACATTCAGTGTCTTTCCTCTTATTTCTTTTGAGCCACAGGCTTGCAAGCACGTGAGGACGGTGGTCCAGCATGACATCATCTTCAGAGCTGGGCTTCTCGCCCCTTGGAAAGGTTAATTAGCTGCTGCTTGGCACTGTGCTAAAAGTCCAGATAAAGCTTTTGGACCATTCATCCTGTAAACCGGTGGGTGTGACCACCTGAAGCACACTCCACAGCCAGGCTCCTAGACACAGCAGCCTTGGGAAGTTCTTGACAGGGGTTCAGAGGATGAAAAGTTGGATGGCGGCACAGCCTTGCACTTTTCCTTCTTCTTGGCTTGGCGCTAGAGGTTTTGAGGCCACCGGATAAGCCTCCCATGGTGGACAATGCACTCTAGAATGTGAATTTCATATCCACTTCCACTTTTCACCTCTTCATTCTTGGGAGGAGGGCTCTGCAGAGGGACCTGGCCAGGCTGGATCCATGGGCCCAGGCCGGTTGGGTGAGGGTCAACAAGGCCAAGGGCCGGGTCCTGCCCTAGGGTCACAACAACCTCACGCAGCGCTACAGG